CCATTTCCCAGGGAAAACAGCAAATTAATTACCTGGTGTCAGGTTGATTATATTGGACCCCTCCATTATAAAGGGAGTAGTACTTTGTCTTCATAAGGAGACACACATATTCCGGGTGCAGATTTGTCTTCCCTGCCTGCAGCCCTTCTGCCAGCACCATTAGTGAACATACAGAATACCTTATCTACTTTCACATCATCTCACAAACAACCCTACACAAACGATTCCAGAGTATGAAAAAAGAGCAAACACTTTCCAAATCTTTTTATGAGTCTGGCAACATCTCAGTATCAAAACGTAACAAAGAAAATATGAGAAAAGACAGTCCTGGTTAATTTCACTTGTAGATACAGATGCAAAACTCCTAAATATAACATTAGCAAATCAAACCCAGCAATATATATAAAAGATAATATATCATCACCAAATTGAGTTTATTCCAGAAATTCAAGGTTGTTTTAATATTTGGAAATCAACTAACTTACAAAATTAACAGCTTAAGGGAGAAAAACCTATAACCATCAATATAGATATTAAAAATGGATAAAATTCAACATATTGATGTACTCATGATAAAACCGTTAACAAGTTATAAATTGAGATCTGCAAAAAACATACAGTAAACCCGTCTTAATGGCAAATGTTGAAATCATTCTCTTTAAGATTCAGACCAAATCTAGGAAGGCCACAATCACACTTTCTGTTCAGCACTGCCTGAGTGGTTCTGCCTAGCATGGCAAGGTAAGAAAACAAAATACAAAGTATGGTTTACAAATGTGAAACAAATCTGCCATCATTCACAGATGATATGATTTTCAACATTAGAAATCTAGACAAATCTACAAATAAATTAGGAAAATTGATAAGAGTTAGTTAAGCAAGGTTACTGGTTATAAAATCAATATACAAAAATTAGTTCCACTCATTTTCACAGTCAACAAACTGCTAGAAAATACAGTTTATAAAATTATATATTTTACAGTAGCAACAAAAAATATATAAAGTACCGAGGACTAAATTTAACAAAAGCTATATAAGAGTTGTATGGGAAAAAAACTATAAAATATAATACATTGCAGAAGACTTAAATAAACAGAATAATTTGATATCGTAAAGAGGTCACTTCTCCAAATTGATTTAAAGATTGGTAGTGCCAATAAAAACTCTAACAGGTTTTTTTCGAGGAACTTGACAAGTTTTTTGTGGGAAAGCAAAGGGTCAAAAAAAGACAAAACACTAATAAGTGAAAAGTCATCAAGAATTATTACAAAGGTAGAGTAATGAAAACTATCTGTTGGTGCAGGGATAACCAAATAACTTATGGAACAGAATAGAGGGCCCAGAAGCAAATCCATGCACATGTGTGAACTTGCTTTAGGCTATAGATGGTATATTTCAGTTCATCAGGGGAAAGGGCAGACTTTTCAATAAATGATGCTGGGACAGCTGGTTATCCATCTAGAAGTAAAAATGAACTCTTGCTTCAATCATACACAAAACCCAACTCCAGCTGCGTTAAGAGTTGTGGAAAGCAAAACTATAAAAATTTTAGCCTACATATAAATATCTTATGATCTTGAGATAAGAATTTTTAAAAATCACAAGATACAAAAAAGTACAAACTATAAAGAATAAAATTCTACCTCATTAAAACTGAGAACTTCTGCTACCAGAAAATTACTAGAGCTCATCAATGAATTCAGTAAAGTTGCTGGATACAAAATTAACATACAGAAATCTGTTGCATTTCTATACACTAATAATATACACTAATTATACACTTTCTGAAATATCAGAAAGAGAAATTAAGGAAACAATTCCATTTACTATTGCATCAAAAAGAATAAAATACCTAGGAATAAACCTACTTAAGGAGGCAAAACACCTGTACTCCAAAAACTATAAGACACTGATGAAAGAAACTGAAGATGACACAAACAAATGGAAAGATATACTGTGTTCTTGGATTGGAAGAGTCAATATTGTTAAAATGACCATACTACCCAAGGCAATCTACAGATTCAATGCAATCCCTATCAAATTACTGCTGGCATTTTTCACAGAACTAGAACAAAATATTTTAAAATTTGTTTGAAGACACAAAAGATGCTGAATAGCCAAAATAATCTTGAGAAAGAAGCTGGGCCTTGCTGTTTGAATAGGATTTTGTTAAACATTATTTGATGGAGAATTGTGGCAGACTGTATATTCCAAAGATGACCGTGCTAATACACATCCCATCCCATATGCTTTTCTTTCAATATGCCATTGACAGTTGTCCATAGAGGGGTAGGCATCTACGTACCCTCCCTTTGAACTTTGGCAAGTCTTTTCTAATGCCTTGATAAACTGAACGGGGAGGAAGTTCACAGAATGACTTTGAGATTACTCAGCTCCTGCCTGGTCCTTTCTTTCACAGGATGTTCAACCTTGGAACTCAGCCACCATGCTATGAGGAAGCCCAAACTAACCCACGTGGAGAGATTTACATAAAGAGGTGCATGTGGAGAGAAACTGAGGCCCAGCTGACACAGCAAAGCACCGACTACCAGACACATAAGTGAATGAGGCTTCAGATGATTCCTGTCCCCAGCATTTGTGTTCTCGGGCTGAAGCCCAGACGTAATGTCACAGAACAGAGACAAGTCATCCCCACTGTGCCCTGTCCTAATTCTTGACCCAGAGAATCCATGAGCGGAATAAATGGTTATTTTGTGCCATAAAAGTTTTAGAGCAATGTGTTACACAGCTGAAGTAACTGGAACAAAGACATTCTAAAGAGAAAGTAATAGAATGTCATAAAGTATTGTGAATACTGGCAGTATTGGGTGATGAGGCCAAAAAAGGTGGGCTGGGACCAGACTATGAAAAGTCTTACATGACAGTATAAAAAAATAGACTTATGGGCAGTGGAGAATTGTTGAAAGTTTTTAAGCTGGAAAATGAAATGCTAAGATCTACATTTGCAAGATATCTCTGAGATCAGTGTGAAGGAAAGACTGGAAAAAAGAAAGACTCAAAAGTAGGAAAACCTCCTCTAATTAAGATGAGTCCTAAACAAGTAAAATGGTGGAATCATCCCTCAAGTGACATGTTTTGTGACCTTCTTCCTCTTAAGGGTTGCCTCTGATGCTCATTTATACTCAAATTCACTTGTATTAAAATGCTGGCAGAGAGAAACATGTAACACAAAAACCTCCACGAGGATAGGTACAGCAGCTTTATTTATAATTGCCAAAACTTGGACACAACCAAGATGCTCTTCAGTAGGTGAATAGATAAATACTCTAGTATATCTTATTCAGCACTAAAAAGAAACGAGCTACTAAGCCATGAAAAGACAAGAAGGTACCTTAAATGCACATTACTAAGTGAAAGAAGCCAATCTGAAAAGGTTATACGGCATGATTCTAACTATATGACTTTCTGGAAAAGGCAAAACTATGAAGACAGTTAAAATATCAGTGGTTTCCAGGGGTTAGAGGGGAGGGAGGAATGAATAGGCAGAACACAGAGGATTTTTAGAGCAAAGAAATACTCTGTACAATACTATAATGGTAGATACATGTCTTATACATTTGTCAAAACCCATAAAATGTGCTCCACTGAGAATGAACCAAAATGAAAAGTATGGTCTTTGGGTGGTTAAAAAAAGTGTTAAAGTAGGTTCACTGATTGCAGCAAACGTACCACTCTGGTGCGGGATGCTGATAGTGGGGAAGCTGTGCTCGTTTGGGGACAAGGGTTATATGGGGAAATCTTGGTACCTTCCTTCAATTTTGCTGTGAACCTAAAACTGCTCTAAAAAATAAAGTCTGTTCAAAAATATTAGGGGGTGGAAATGTTAGGAGATATTAAAATACAAAAACATTTTCCTTACTGTTCTTCTTTCAAACTTCTGGATCTGGATCAGTTTACATAAAGTGTATTCTAAGAGTACAAAGTAAGCTGTCTAAAAAACTGTAACCACTTATAACCAATTATTCATGTGAATAATGCCAACCTTGTACTACAGATATCACCATAACCCACAATTTCTTGTTTTTGGGTCTATTAAAATATCCTCATCATTCTCACAACTGGCTTTATAAGAAAGCCATGAACTATATACATATACATGAACTATATACATAGAAACTTGTAATATAAACCTATACTAATAAACTTCAGTTTTAATATTTTGGATATCAGGGTGCTATATAAGGGGAAAACTGAGGTGCATGGTCCAAAGATGAGGGAGAAGATGTAACTCAGAACGTAAGGAGCCAACTCTGTGAAAAGGAAAGGGATGCCTGGATGGATAAAAAAGCAAAGATATACAAGGGAATAAAAGCTACTGAGAACGTTTTGTTCTCATCCTGGCAGATCTTTCATCCTATTTTCTGAGAAAATCAAGAGGAAGAATGTATTGAAAACTGAGAGTTCATGGAGGATAGATGGGATGGAGTGGCTCAACAGTGGATCAATCAGATCCTGAGCAGCAGTAGAGCCCAGTTGGAATTTGATAGCGTAATTTATTGGAGGCCAGTTTTGGATAATTTTATACTGTGCCATTCTCTAATGTTAATTACTCAAGAGATGATTAACCAATTTGTGGTATACCATGCATCATGCTTTTTCATATTTTCATCTAATGCTTGCTTCTGAAAAATATCGTAATTTAAACTCTTCATCAAAGAGAAGATGAATACAAACAAGAGAAGGAACTAAAATGAAATTTTCTGCTTTAAAAAAATTTATAAAAGATTTAAGTCTTGTAGTTAATAATTTTTGAAATAAAACAATGAAAGAGAAAAAAACATTGAAACAAATGGTAAAATAAGGTTACAGGATCCTGTGTGGGTTGAATTTATCCATGCTAACCCGGTCCCTCATGACCAAAGTTAAATTAAAGCCACTGTTGCTATATTTAACAAAATAAAATCTGATGAAAAACAATTCCTGTCCAGTGTTTCTTATTCATGTTTCTGAGTAAAAATGTTATTCTTTACCTAATTTACCTGCATCCCAGAGGTTACAGACATCTGTTTGCCCTTCTGACAACCATGTAGTTGACGAGATAATGGAAGTAGGAATTGTCGGCAAAACTGGCTTTGGATCATCCTCATAAAATAACATCAGGTCCTTATGGAAAACAAGAGAACACACATGAAAGTAGAAAAAAAATTAACCCCACTGCTTCAATATGCTACAACGAATGGACAATTTATAGAGGTACAATGTGCCTCTATGTGCTAACATCGTTGTAAATACATTTTGACTGAAAGAACTTGCACGTAAGTTATCTACACGTGGGTGTCCACTTAGTGTTGGGTGGTATTCTGCCCTTAAGAATCCCCACTCCCTTTGCAGCAACATGGATGGACCTAGAGAATATTATGCTTAGTGAAATCACTTATATATGGAATCTAAAAAATAATGCAAATGAACGTATATTCAAAACAGAAACAGACATATATATAGAAAACAAACTAGTGGTTACCAAAGGGGAGAGGCAAGGGGGAGGGGCAAATTAGGGGTATGGGATTAAGAGATACAAACTACCATGTATAAAATAAACAACAAGGATATATTGTATAGGACAGGGAATTATAGTCATTATCTTGTAATAACTTTTAATGGAGTGTATCTGTAAAAATACTGAACCACTATGCTGAACACCTGAAATTAACATAATATTGTAAATCAACTATACTTCAATTGAAATAAATAAATAATAAAAAACTATACCTTCCAAGTATAAAAAAAGATTCTCACTCCTTGCTAAAGACACCTAGTGTAGACAAGCAATGATTTTGTTTGGGGCATTAACTTTCCCTACCACTCCTTGAGCATCCTTAGAACACACTATCTCAGAGGCCAATTATTCTGTTTTATTGGTAATAACAAAGCTACCTGTGTGTATCTTTTATCCATATTTAAAATTTTAAACTTTTTATCATGGAGTAAAAAGTAGACAATAATCCAATCATGTAGGTTAAACAACAATCAACTCACAGCCAGTCTTGTTTTATTTACCACTCATGTGTTTTATTTTGAAGCAAATCTTAGATATATCGCTTATTTCAACATGTATCTCTAAACGATAAGAACTCTTTAACAATAATAATTATTTTACACCTGTAAACTTTACAATAATTCCTTAATGTCATCAATTGTTCAGATTGTTTCAGAAAATCAAATTGTTCAGATTTTCAATTTAACCTAAGTATCATAAACAGGTTTTTCTACAGCTAGTCTGGAAACGGATCCAAACAAAGTCTACACAGTGGGACTGGTTGACCTGTCTTTCTTCCCCCATGAATGGGTTGACCTGTCTTTCTTCCCCCACGAATGGGGGATAATTTTTTTGCCGTACTTTATTGAGGTATAATTAACATATAGTAAATGCAAAACCTTAAGTGTAAAGCTCAGTAACTTTTGGCATTATGTGTATATTTACATAACCACATTTCCTTGACTCCAGAAAGTTCCCTCAAGCGCCTTTCCAGTTGATACCACACCCCCGCCACCAGTAAACAGTATTCTACCTTCTATCACCATCAATAAGTTTGCCTGTTTTTGAACTTCATACAAATGTAATCATACCCTATTTATTCTTTTGTATCTGATTCCCACTGCTTAACATAATATTTGTGAGATTCATCCATATTTTGTGTGTATCGGTAGTTTGTTTTTCTGTAAGAAATATTCCATTGCATGAAAATATCTCAATTTGTTTATCCATTCTCCTGCATATGGACATTTGGGGCGTTTCCATATTTCAGCTATTATGAATAAAGCTGCTATGAATATTCTTGCACAAATCTTTTTGTGGACAAATGCACTCATTAATCCTGGATATTTACACAGGAGTAGGATGACTAGGTCATAGGATAGGTTTATTTTTAACTTCATTAGAAACTGTCAAACCACTTTCCAAGTGATTTGCCACTTTTCATAATTCAGCTTTTATTCTGAAGTCATTGTAGATTCATATCCAGTTGTAAGAAATAATACAGAGAGATCCTGTGTATTCTTTATCCAGTTTCCCTTAAAGGCAACATCTTGCAAAATTATAGTACAATATCATATCTAGGATATTGACATTGATATGATCGAAGTACAGAACATTTCTATCACCATAAGGCTCCTTCCTGATGCCTTTTTATTACCATGCTCTGCTCCCCACAACTACTAATTTATTCTTCATTTCTGTAATTTCGACATTTGAAGAATGTTACATAAATGGAATCATACAGGATGTAACCTTTTGGGATTGGTTTTTTTCACCTGGCATAATTCCCGGAGATTCATCCAAGTTGTTGCATGTATCAATAACTTGTTCCTTTTCATTGTCAAGTAGTGTCCATGGTATAGATGTATCACAGTTGGTTTAACCTGTTATAGGCCATCTAGATTGTTTCCAGAACTGTGCTATAATAAAGCTGCTGTGAACACAGTGTACAGTGTATGAAAATACGTTTTCATATCTCTGAGATAAATGCCTAACAGTGAAAACGCTGGGTCTTATGGTAGCTACATATTTAGTTTTATAAGAAACTGTCAAACTGTTTTCCAGAGTAGCTGTACAATTTTACATTCCCACCAGTGATACATGAGTGATCCAGTATCTCTGCATGATCACCAGCATTTGGTGTTGTCACTGTTTTTTATTTTAGCTATTTTGATATTTCGTATTTCAAAATTATATATTCCTAAAGGCTAATGATGTTGATCTTTCCATCTGTTTATCTGTTACCTGTATTTGCTGAAATGACTGTTTATATCATTTGCCCATTTTCTAATTGGATTGTTTGTTTTTTAACTGTTGGGTCTTGAGACTTCTTTATATACTCCAGGTATTAGTTCTTTGCTGGTTATGTGGTTTGCAAATGTTTTCTCCCAGTTTGTGGTTTGCCTTTACATCCTCTTAACAGAGTCTTTCACAGAGCAAAATTTTTCAAATTGTGATGAGGTCTGATATCATTTTTGTTTTCTTTTACGGATCGTGCTTTTGGCCAGCCCTAGACCCCAAGACTTTTCTCAAATAGTTTTCTTAAAGTTTTATAGCTTCTCTTTTTACATTTAAATCTGTGATCCATTTGGAGTGAATTTCTGTATAAGGTTTAAGTTGAGGTTCATGGTTTTGCCTATGAATGTCCAGCTGCTCCAATATCATTTGATGAAAAAGTTATCCTTCTCCTTTGAATTTCTTTTGCACTTTGTCAAAAATCAGTTGGCTATATTTGTGTGGGTCTATTTCTTGGTTCTCAATTCTGTTCCACTGACCTAAGTGTCTCTCTATCAATACCACACGCCCTTGATTACAGTAGCTATGCAGTAGGCTTTAATATCAGGCAGAGTGATTACTCCCCCTTTTTTTTTTTTTCCAAGATGGTTTAAGCTATTCTAGGGCCTGTGCCTTTACATACAGATTTTATTTATTTTAAAAAATCTTTTGGCCATGCTGTGCAGCATGTGGGATCTTAGTTCCCAACCAGGGATCAAACCCATGCCCCCTGCATTGGAAGCACAGAGTCTTAACCACTGGACCGCCAGAGAAGTCCCTCCATACAAATTTTAGAATAAGCTTATTATCTATGTCTACAAAAACTTTGCTGAAATTTTAATAGGAAGTGCATCAAACCTAGAGTAATTAGGGGCAGTTTTACTATGATATCTTTACTTTGTGGAGTCTTCCAATCCACGAACATGGTAGGTGTTTAATTGGGTGGTTTTAATTTCTTTCATCAGTATTTTATAATTTTCAGTATACTGATCCTGTACAGGTTTTGTTATAATTATACCTAAGGACTTCATTCCAGGGAAGTGATTATAAATGGCATATGTCTTAATTTCAGTTACTGTTAGTATATAAAAATGCAATTGATTTATGTATGTTGATCTTATATCCTACAACCTTGCTGAATTCACTTACTGGTTCTATGAGGTTTGTTGTATCATTTCCTTGAGATTTTCTATGCAAACAATCATGTCACCTGTAAATAAGGACAGTTTTATTTTTTCCTTTAAATTTTGCATGCTTTTCCTTTCTTTTTCTTGCCTTATTACAGTGGCTAGAACTTCCTATACTATGTTGAATAAGAGTCCTTGCCTTGTTCCTTATCTTAGAGGGAAAGCATTCACCCTTATTTATGATGCCAGTGTAACCGAAAGTGGGGTCCGGCTGCCGCTCAAAAGCCAATAAAGAGGCCATACTGGTGGAAAGGACAGTTTGCTTTATTTCGGATGCCAGCAACTGGGGAGGGGAGGGTGGACATCTGTCCAAAGGCCGACTCCCCCCCACTGACAATCAGTGAGCATGAGCTTTTATAGGCTTAGGGAGGGGGGTACATGCAGAAACAGCACAGTCAACTCTGACAGTCATCTTGAAATTGGTCATTGGTGGTGTGATCAGCGTCATCTTGATCGTTTTAAGTACAGTTAATCTTCAGTTCCAGGATCAGTTTGTTCCCATTTCCTTGGGGCCAATTCTCGGAGTTGTACCAGCTTATGTCATGGCTACAGTCTGGTCATCATGTAGTTAACCTCTTCCACCTGGTGGGGGTTTCAGTACCTATAAGACACTTCACAGGATACGGCTCAGAATATTATCTATAGCCCTTGAGAAGGAGCTAAAGGTCCTTGACTATGCTCGATGACTAAACTATTATTATTTGGTCTTCTTTGACTGTTTTCCTTTGTTTCTGCATTTTCTCACTTCTCTGATTAAACTTATTCTTTGGCTAAAGCTTTTCCACAGACAAAAGGCAGGCTGAGGACATGGGGGGCATAGACCATAGAGTCCTGTTCCATTATACTAGCTGTAGGTTTTGTATAGATGATCTTGATCAATTTAAGGAAATTCCCTTCTATTTATAATTTGCTAAGAGTTTTTATCTTAAATGGGTGTTGAATTATGTCAAATGCTTTTCTGCACCACTTGACATAATCCTATGATTTTTTCTTCTTTAATCTGTAGATATGATGAATTACATTGACTAATTTTCAAATGTTGAACCAGCCTTCCATACCTAGATCAAATCCCACTTGGTCATGGTATATAATTCTTTTTATACATTGTTGGATTCAACAGGATAAGTCTTTTTGAGGATTTCTGTATAATTTCATGAGAGATAATA